TGCGCGCCTCTGCTGCGGGCGCTGGAGGAGGACCAGCGGCGCCGCGGCCTGGCGGCGGCCATGGAGGTGCCGCAGCGCCAGCCCCCTCACCCACCAGGACCGGCGCCCGCCGCTGGGAAGGGAAGAGGAGGGCCTACCGGGCCAGCGGCCGCCCCGCCTGCAGGAGGCAAGGGGCGCCAGCAGCCCGTGACGGCGCCGGCAGCAGCCCAGCCAGCCGCGGAGGCACATCCGCCAGCCGCAGGCGACAAGGCTGAGGAGGACATACGGCGCCGCAGGAGCGAGCAGTGGAGTTGGTTCGCGGGCCGCCGGCGGGATCCTCCACTGCGGGAGAGCCCAGCGGACAATGGTGGCCCAGGGGACGCAGAGGAGGAAGTCCGAGGCTGGTTCAGCTTTGGTGCAGTCAAGTTCGGAGTGAGCTGGCTTGGAGGTTGGATCACGGATCTGCCGCCAACTGAGATACAGTGGGCAGACTTGATGTGGGGTGGCGGTGGCTTGGTCGGGAGCGGGATCAACACTGTGGGCTACGCGGCGTTCGGCACCGGGTGGCCCTTGTTGTGCTGGACCACGTTTGCAGGACTGATTGTGGCGCTCGTCATTGGATTGGGATACGGTTTACATTCCATCGCCTCGGCGGTGGATGTATTGATCTGTGCTCCACTCCGTTGCCTGGGACGGGCGATGGGATTGTGCTGTCCAATTTCGAAGCCACAGGTTACCACCGCCGATGAGGGAGTGGTGCCGGAGCTCAGGGGACCCGCCACCACCATCGCTGTGGAGAACGAGTTCTACGCCCAGTTACGCGCCAAGGGGGCTGACAAGGTGCCGCGCCACCTGATCATCAAGGTAGGCGACACTGCCGCGAGGCTGGAGAGGCCACCTCTGAACACTGGGATTAAGTATAAGAAGGCAGGAGTGGCATGGCCATACCGAGAGGTGCCTGCTACTACGTCAAGGCGGCTACGCGACCTGCTGGAGGAGTCCCAGGACAAGGTGGTGCACCTGTGCAGGGACATGCCCTGCATGGACGAGGGCAACTACGCGGTGCACGCCCCAGCGTACGGGTATGTGACGGCTGAGACGGACACTAACCTGGAGGCCCTTGTGGAGGCTGCGCCAAAGCCCTGTTGGGCCGGCCGGGCAGTGGGGGCAGCGGCTGCTTCATGTGGGCGGGGATGTGCCGCTATGGGGTTGAAGGGATGTGCCAGGCTCTGCGGATCCATCAAGCGATGCGGCCAGAGGGGTTGCCAGCGCGGCCGCCGGAGCCGAGCAGATATCCCTGCCGCCCTATTGAAGGACCCGAACTCGGAGACGGAGTCGGAGCCGGAGCACCAGCGCTGTATGGCCAATGAGGTGCTGTACCAAGAGGGAGACACGATATTTCAGCTGTGCAAGGAAAAGTGTCGGGACCGAGCCCGAGGTGCCCCAGTCCGCCTGGTCACGGAGGATGGCGAGAAGTCGAACGTCAAGGGGGTGGAGAAGGTGGTCAACTTGTGCTGGCAGCACACGAATGCCTACGAGCGCGAGAGGGGAGTCAAGAAGTGCGCGCACCTCGGCTGTCACGCCTTGGGTCGAGTCCTGAACCGTGGGGTGCTGACGTGTCTGGAGCACGACCTGGCAAACGAGGAGGCCGTACGTGTCGTCGCCGACGCCGAGGGACCAGCGCCTGTGGTGGTGGGAATGGTATCCGAGCAACCTACGCGGTACCGGTCGAAGTCACCTACGCCGATGACTGGGAGGCCACTCCTACCTTTGGTGTCGGCCAGTGGAGCGTGGCTAACGGCATTGGTGCGAGGCCCTCGGGGTACGGAGATGGCGAAGAAGTACTATTGCTACGGGTGTCAGTTGGCTTGTGAGGAGGATGGTTGGACTACGTATCGTATCCCAGGGCTCGAGGCCCAGGCAACTGTCCCGTCCAACCTGGGGCCAGTGATCGACGACCGGGTGCGGGCCGAGGCTGCCGCTGCTGGAGCGCCTGCCATCATCGTGCGGACGGTTAATCAGATACCCGACGGAATGGACGAGTACGGCCAGACAGCTAGCCCAGTGGCCCAGGCGTTGGCACGAGGCGCGACGGGGAGGGAGGACCATCCCCTGTGCAACCTGACGAGGGGGATCGAGGAGGCAGGAGGGCGAGACGAAGGACACGCTCGGAGGCACCCGCCCTCGACCTCCCCCGCATGCCCGTCGCAGCCACCGTGGGTGGATACGCTAACACGAGGAGAGCTGGGAGGCCTGCTGAACGGGGCTGCCCGAGAGCGTTGGCGGCGTCGAGGCGAGGCGGCCTTGGCTTTGGAGTTCCTGAAGGCGAGGGCCAGCGGAGAGGACCACCCGCTGGACGTGGCCGAGAGGTATCAACACTCCGAGGGTTTCGACGACCTGGGAGAGGCGTGCGACGCGATCGTGGAGTCGCTCGAGGCGTTGGAAAGGGACCGCGGCTCCTTCATGACGGACGACGAGGTGGAGAACCTGCGGCAGTTGGCCGAGGTGCTGCGGGAGAGGCGCGGCTTGAGCCAGGCGCATGAGGAGGAGGTGGCGGGAGGGGCATGGCGCGAGGGGCTGGCACGGCCGGTCCCTGGCCCTGCGCGGCCGCCTACACCTCCTATGGCCCGTCCGTCGGCGGTGGAAGCGCCACCCGGCCTGGAAAGGATGCCCGAGCCAGGCCGGCCCGCCAAGGAGGAGAAGGGGTCCACTCGAGGTTGGGAACCCAAGCGGCGAGCAACAGACCTGGGCGGACAAGGAGTGGACTTGCGGGGCAGTACTGTGCGGGCCGAGCTGGGCAGAGGCCCGCCGACAGGTCGACCTGGACATGACCCCACACCACCTCCCATGGACCTGTTCGAACATCGGGCGGGTCCTACCTTTGGGGTCCCGGCGAGAAGAGCGCGGGTGAGCTTCGACGAGGAAGACTATGGCCCTTCGGAAAAGTTCCGGAGGTCAGCGGGGGCACTTGGCGACTCTGAGGACAAGGGCAGCGAAGGGATGGTCAAGGTCATGGCGGACATCGCGTACAACCTCGACCTCACGAACAAGCGGGCGGAGGACGCAGCGGCGGGGAAGATGGGCACCCTCCAGTCGATCACTAAGGACCACGAGCTCCTCGTCCTGGCGGCGCGTGGATGCGGGAGGTTCCGGGTGGCCATCTGCCCGGACGACTTGGGTCGGGCGCTCGTCAAGGCGCTCTTGCGTATGGCGGA